CAGACCACACACACACATAGAACACACACACACACACACACACACACACACCATGGATAGATGGCAGTCTGAATGTCAAGGATGACTTAAACCATTGCTTCTGTGATCCTCTCCCCAACTCCCTAGGCTGCATGGCTCCCCAGTCCATTTCCCATCCCTGCACACCGGACAACTTCTCTCTGCAGAACCAAGTTCTGGACCTCCAAGCTCCTTCTCTTCCTCTTCTTCCTCCTCTTCCTCCTCCCTCTCTCATAGCACAAGCAGAAAGCCTCTTTCCCTGCATCCCAGCATCCCAGCTCTTACCTGAAGCCACCTCAGTTAAAGGTATATACCATAAAGTTAAAGGGAAGTCATGATTTTCTAATGATGGAACTGTTAATTAGAAAACCTGGGTGACTTGATAAGTTCCATTCATTAATATTCAACAAATATTGAACAGGCTACTGTCTTGGAGCACATAAGCAAACAGCCATCCTGAATGACTACTAGTAAAATCTGGCACCAGTTGGCAGAGGTAAACCTTTGATTCTTCTCTTTGTTCTAAAGGTGGTGTTCGGACTGAGTGGAGGAAAGGCACTCCTGGTTGTGGATGGGCTAAGGGCTCAGGAAGGCAGTTTGCCTGGAAATTCTACCATCAGCCCCAGAGAACAAGTTTACCTGGGGTTGTCGCTATCAAGAAAGTCAAAGGTAAAGCTAGAAAACAAGTTATTCTCAGTATAACTACAACTGCTATCATTGCACGAGCCATTTAAGACTTCTAAAACCTTTAGATTATTTGATATATCTAATGTTTACAAGCCCACAGAGAAAGTGCCCATTGCATTCCCAAGCCTATGCACAGAGTTCAGGCTGAGACACGAGCATTGAAGAAGTGACCGTGGACTTCTCTATGGCCTTACAAGCATGACTCTCTTAGCTTCTCTTCCAGAGAAAGGGACAGAGGTGTATGCTGGTTGTTTTATTATCTTATGTGTGTGGCTATTTCGTTTGCATGTATGTCTATGCATCACACATGTGCCTTGTCCTTGTGGAGGGCAGAAGAGAGCATCAGATTCCCAGGGACTAGACTCATAGAGTGCTATGAATTGCCATGTGGATACTGGAAGTTAAATCTAGTCCTCTAGAAGAGCAGCCAGTGCTCTCAACCACTGAGTCATGTCTCCAGCCTGTGGCAGAGATTTTGGATTAAGGTAATGTGTCCTAAGCTCTGGCAGTGTCTTATTGCCAGGCAGATGACTAAATGATAGCAAAAGCATGTACTTCCTACTTTGCTGCCTATCAGCTTGCTGTTGAATTGAAGAATATTTTAAAGGGTCTTTTTTCTTTTATAAATGGAAGCCCAATGTCCTTCATCATAAATAGTAAGTAACCACAAAAGTCAGTTCATAGGAATGAAGCAGTATCCTCAAAGTCTAGCCAGATACCCTGACCTGTGGTTGTGAATAAATCAAGAGGGCATACAGCATATTTGCATTGGCACAAAGCCAATGTGTTCCCTTTTCTAGTCAGACGGCTCCGAAGAGTCATGAAGGAGCACAAGGCATGTGTGCAGGAGAGAGGATGCTTGGTGGGTGATGGCCTAGGTTAGATCTCTAGCTGCAGACAGGAAACACAAAGGTAGATCTTTATGCCCACATATGCGTCTTACTGTTCTTCAGGGTCTGAAATGATAGTATAAGCTCAAGACTCAAACTTGATATATGGCTATGGGACAGCTGAGAGTCCTCCAACACCAAAGATAAGTTACAATTTACTGTCCTTGCCAAGTTCAAAAGTCCTTTATGCTGGCTCTCTCCCACTGTCTCTCCTCCCACCCTAACAAGGTGCTGACCAAGCCCGGTATGCCTACATGTGTGACCTTTCCCATACTGTTGAAGGTCAGTGATGCTGGGAGCAGCTCAGGTCCAGGATACTGATGCTGGGAGCAGCTCAGGTCCAGGATACTGATGCTGGGAGCAGCTCAGGTCCAGGATGCTGATGCTGGGAGCAGCTCAGGTCCAGGATACTCATGCTGGGAGAGGCTCAGGTCCAGGATACTGATGCTGGGAGCAGCTGAGGTCCAGGATACATCTCTCACCCAATGCAGTTTCTGTCCCTTCCTCAGGACGTGGTGTGATGTTTACTTGCAATGAGACAGAGAGGACCCACACTAAACTCCAGTCATGAAAAAAAAAAAGATGTAATTAAACCAGACCTTGCACCAGCTCAGATTTTAATGTTTCAGGGTGACCCAGTCAAAGCTGGCATAGATCCATGGGGTACAACTTGGCCCACTCTTTGTACCAAAGCTACAACAAGGACTAAAGCATTGTTTTCTACTACATTCATATGTAGTAACTTTGCTATGTCCATCATGAAGGATCCATACCATATATGAATGTATGCAATATGGTGTGTATGGCATATGCTAAGGGGGATCCTTACTGTCAACACTGACTTTTCTTCAACCTCTAAGTCTAATTTCCTCTCAGAGAAAAATCACAGAGCAGAGAGACTATTTAAGGATATGGTTAGGGTATTCTTTTGACCTGGCACAGCGGGTAAAGGACTGGCTGCTCTTCCAGAGGTCCTGAGTTCAATTCCCAGCAACCACATGGTGAGCTCACACCACCTATAATGTGATCTGATGCCCCCCTCTTCTGGCACGCAGATGTACACACAGATAGAGCACTCATATACAGAAAATTAATAAATACCCCATAATTAGACATCCAAATTCAAAACTCACATAGTTGGGATTGATCATAAGACGCCTTCTCTAACTAAACAGAGAAGGGGGAGATGCCAGAAGCCAGGACCCTCGCCCTTACCCTCACCCCCTACCTTTCCCCACCTGCACAATGTCCCCTGAAGCTTGGCAACTGCAAGATCCTGCTTGGCAACGGTAGATAGACTCAAAGCAGTGTACCATATCTTCTGAAGAATAGCAGGGAGACCATAACTCAAGCAGTGTACCATATCTTCTGAAGAACAGCAGGTAGATCATAATTCAAGGCAGTGTACCATATAGACCATGACATGTTTCAAGGCAGAGGCCAAGAAGATTCTGTACTTTTCCACCACCTGGCTCCTCTTACCCCCTCCCCTTGTAAAACATGCTATAAAAAAGCATTTCATGTTCAAAAAAAAAATTTAAAAAAAGAAAATTAATAAATAAATCTTTAAAAAAACAAAACCAAAAAAACCCAACCAACCAAACAACAACAAAACAAAAACCAAACCAAAACAAAAAACACAAAACCTTATTAATCACAAGGTACAGATAGTAGCACCTATTTACAATGTTGTATCTAAAGAACATACAAAGTAATGGATTTTATGACATGGTCTCTTGGCCCAGTTGCTTTGGGCCTGTGACAAGACAGGACATCACACAGGGACTGTCTAATGGGGCAAAGCTACATACCTTGAGGGGGCTAGGAAGCATAAACGTGAAGGGAGGACCAGATCCCAGTACCCTGTGGATGAGCACGCCCCCAGTGAGCTCACTGCCTCCTAAACGGTGTACAACCTTCTAGAAATGCCATAGACAGGCAAACATGGCCTTTGGGACAGCTGAAATTCCAACTGTAGGGATATATACTCCAATAGTGCTTCTGAACAGCAGAACTGCAGCCAGCCCTGGGATTCACTATTGGGTCACAGCCTGACCTGTTGTGTCTGCATTTGGTTTCAATACAGAACTCTGTCATCTAGTGTGATAAATGTATTTATCATGGAAAATATTTTCATGGAAAAATATTATCATGGAAAAATATACATGAAACTGCATTAAGTACTGTGTCATTGGTGTGACAATAGGGGAGGGAGGGCTTGTTTTGGCTCCTAGTCCTGAGACACAGTCCGTCAGTGTCAAGAATGTGAGGTGACTGGCACACTACACTCACAGGCAGATGCAGAGATGAGTGAATAAGTGCAGCTGGGTTTCTATTCTGAAGACCTCAGCCCATGTGATGATGCTACCTCCATTTACAATAGATTTTCCATCTTAATTAACTTCATCTAGGAAATCCCTCACAGACATGCCCAGTGGCTTACCTGTTAGATGATTCCAGATCCTGTCAAGGTGACAATGTTAACCATCATGAAAACTAACTTCTGAAGAGGCCCATCTTCATTGTCACCACTTAACACTGCTACCAGCACCACAAGCATTTCTAAGGTCACTGTGCTCCCTTAAAGTTAGGGATTTTAGGAGTGTTTTGAGAATCTGACAAATGTGCTACAGTCCTTTCCCCTGAGGTGGGGGATGGGATGTGCGCACAGCAAGCATCTGTTATACACCACCAAGTATTGTGAACCTGCCAAAACCTGGGTCCAGATTGGGAACTCTTATTGAAAACCCACCCTAGGCAAGCAGAGGGTGCCCCACAAGGTACTAATAGTGCACAGTATCTTCTTTGGACTTCAAAGCTCTCATGGTTTGTTGGTATTATACCAAGCCTAACAATGTAGGAAGGTATCTTGTACTTTATTATTTTGGGAACATTTCGGCCCTGTTTTTTGTCATCTGCCTGGCAATAAGCTATCATGCTAGCTCACAAATCTCCAAGAAAAGGTTTGAACCTACAAAGAATGGTGAGGTATGTAAACTGTGAGGTGGGATTTTCCCCATGCTATAGCTGAGTCTCCATGAAGCAAAATCAGGTTGACCCTCCTGGTTCTTATTTAAGCACTGACTAGCAATGTTCAATCACTCACACCACCAGCATTTAACACCTTTAAACTTCAACTTCCCACCAAGACTCTGGTTTACAGGTTTCCCTGGACACTTGACAAGAAGCCAAAGGGAACAGTCAGGATCCCCTGACTCTCTGAAGCAGGAAGAAGGAATCTTCTAGAATCTCTGTCCTCTGCTAAGCCACATGCCCTTCACCTCAGCATCTCTGGGAGTTAAGCACTGTGAACTTTTATCCTCTGTTTCATTACAGAGCCTCCCACAGCACAGTTTTGTGGGGTGCCTGAGGAATTTCCAGTTGGATTCCAAACCCCTGGACTCCCCCTCTTCGAGGTTCAGGGTATCTCCCTGCTTGGGTGGTTCTTTGGAGAAAGGCATTTATTTCTCCCAAGGAGGAGGCCATGTGCTCCTAGGTAAGAAACAGTTGGTAGAGTTCATGTCTATAAGTCTGAAGAACTCCATCCTCTTTTCTTAATTATGGGGTTTTAACTGTTTCGTTTTTTTTCTTTTTGAAGCCAATTCTGTGTCCTTGGGGCCGGAGCTTAAGCTCACTTTCAGCATCCGCCCACGAAGTCTCACTGGGGTCTTAATACACATCGGAAGCCGATCTGGACAGCACTTAAGTGTTTACATGGAGGCAGGAAAGGTATGCAACAGGACGCTTACATGGGAGGGGAGAGGGATCCAGAGTCCACCAACAGACTAAGACAGTATGAAGATAGGTACAGGTAGAGTCCAGTGTTATACCTATGAAACCTGGCTTGGAGATTAACTTTCCATTTTTTTTTATTAGCAAGTCATTATCTTTTTATTCTCTGCTTCATCTTTGAAACTGGGAAACCTCAAATAAAATTCTGAATTCTGGTGACACTGCTTAGTTAAAGGGTCTGGAGCTGATGCTCAAGCTCCTTTGGGCCCAGTTTCAGTGTCTACAGGATATAGATAATTCTACCATCGGGTACTGAGCAGGCCAGACCTTGCTTAGCTTCTAAGGTCAGACAAGATTGGCTACGTTCAGGGTAGCATGGCTGCAGACAAATGTGGCTAATTCTCAATCCTCAGGCATCTGTCAAGATTAGAGGAAATGCCTCATAGCCCACCCGTGCTTACAACCTTATGACCTGTCACCCTCAGGTCATATCCATGCCCAGGGCCCTGAGCCATGGAGTCCACTCTGGATCCTTTGTCCTCTCTGTGCAGGTCTTGTGCTCTGGCTAAGCTGCTTGCTGGCTCCCTGCCATCTCCCCACCTTTGCATGGACTCTTCCCTCCACTGCTGCTCTTGGGCCTTATGTCTCCATCACTCACAGGCCTGAGTCAATAACCTATTTTCAACGACCACGTTATATTTCTTTAAAATGAAATTCTTCTAGGAATCTTCTCTGCAGCTAAGGCCTGAGTCAAAGATGAATGTTGTACTATTTTCTTTCATTTTGCTCTCTATAACTTATTAAAACTGGGTGAGTGTGTCCCAGATGACAATAAAACAGCTCAAACGGCTACAATATCTTCTTTACCATTTTCAGGATCAAATCCAGAGCCTGTGACACTCTACGAAAGGAGTCTATTTCAGGGCTGCACCACAGCCCCTATGTTATATTTCAAAAGTTTTTTATCATCATTTAATAATACACAGTACACAGAGGGAAACACATTTCCCTCTGACATTTCTGGGCGAGGGTAGTAACTTTAGATCATATTTACCTGTGAGTCTCTCTTGGTTCCTCCTGCTCCTCTCTTCTGCTTCCTTGTCTTTTTGGTTTGGGGGACCCAGTGAGTTGAGCTGGTTTTGCTGACAGACACATGGGTGAGAGTCAATTCTTGGAGCACAGGCAACTTTCCAGTGCCTACATCTCTGAAAAAAATGACACTCCTCCCTCAGCAACAGACAACTGCCCGTAGCCCCTCACCCTGAGCTGTAGACATTAAGTCAGTGCAGTTTCCAGTCATGCAGAGGAAGAAACAACTGCCAGTGTGCGTGGAGGGCACGTGGTGGCTGGCTGTTCAGAGAAGAATATTAGGGAGGGTCTTCAGAAAGCAAAATCAAGACTTGGCGACCTTCCTAACTCCAAGGACATTTGTCAGCTCAAAACCTGCTTGAGAGTGGCCCGCCCTATGTAGCAACATGCAAATCGGATGTAAATGACATATACACACACTTATAGCCTTCTCATTGTATGTACTTTGACTCAGCCTTTAAAAAGGAGTCCCCAACCAGGAGAACGGGAAAGTGGGATTCTGCCAGCAATGTACCACGTGCCTGGCACCTGATACATGTCCTGTCAAATACAACCTATAGCTTAATGTCCTGCATGAGAGCTCTCTGGTCTCAGTGCACTAGGGGGTTATCATAACTGAGTGATCGTTGCAGCAATTCTGAATTTCTGCCAGTATTTTTAACCTCCACACTTCAGGTGTGTTTGTTAGCAGTGACTGCTGCATCCTAATTGCTGAGGAGAGTGGTGGGTGTTTGTCAGGAACCTCTGAGGGTTGAGGGGGAGTGCCCAGTTACTCTTGTCAGAAATCCTAGGCAGGGTCTGGGCTAATTCTTTGGTTGATCTGTCTGGAAGAAGTGTGAGAGAGTATTATTTGGAAGCTTCAGGCATTGTGTGGTCAACAGGAGTTGGAGGGCCAATATCTAGCATGCTTCTAGGCTGCCTGTGTGCCCGGAAGATGGCAGGGGAAGGCTGGCTCCAAAACAGCCAAATGTGTATGTGTTTCAGGTCACGACCTCTGTGGACAGTGAGGCAGGTGGGATCGTAACATCAATTACACCGAAGCAGTCTCTGTGTGATGGACAATGGCACTCTGTGACAGGTATGACACTGGTAACCTTTGTACACACAGGGAAACCTTTGACCTGTGTTTGAACTTCTCAAAGGCAGCCCCAGTCTGTCCATTGGGAGGGTTGGGCTGGACCAGGTACTATAACCAGCCCCCCAGTTTTCTTAACTATTTCAACCCAACTGTGCTAAGATTATTTCATAGCTGTGCCTCTGACTCAAAGAGTGTCCTGAGTTTGGGGTATGGAGGATTTTCCTCAGTCCAGCCCGTCCAGCAAACTGATAAGCTGCTTTTAGTCTTTAAGGAAGTAATAACATTGCAGTTTGTGTTTTGAACTATATGCTTCTGAACTCCTTGGGAACAACGACAGCAACAAGAAACCAAGTTTCTAGGGGTAGAATGATGGCTCAGTGGGTAAGAGCTGCTTGTACTCACTGAGGTTAAGTGTTATTCCCAAAGCCCACACTGCATTCAAAAACATATTCACACAGACAGACAGACAGACACACACACACACACACACACACACACACACAAACGCACACACACACACACACACAAAATTTACAAGAGAAGCCAGCTTTAAGTTCTATCCCTTACTCCTGTGACCGTGGGCAAGTTACTTTAACACATACATTGCCTCAGTTTTCTCATTTGTAAGACGAAGTTAAAAATGGTATAGGTTTGTGAAAATTAAACGAAGCATGTATGTATGTATGTATGTATGTATGTATGCAGTACACAGTCTGCATCTGATCTATAGTGAGCATTCAGTAAGCACCCAGTTTTACTGTTGGAATTTTAAAGGTCATTGTTACTTTTTCAATAATCATTAAATATTAATGCAAACTATTCGAACAGTACAGTGGTGTAAAGTGAGCACATCCTCTCAGAATCTGTTTTAGTCATAACTCATGAGTGTTGGAGATTCGTGAGCCTGAGGCCAGGGATGTAGCCCAGCTGGAAGAATGCTTGCTTGCCTAGTTTACATAAAGCCCTGGGATTGATCCCCATGGACCATGCACGGCTGTGCTCCCCCAGGGATCACAGCACCAGGACAGTGCTTTTGGCTAAGAGCATGTGTAGAAATATCAGAGTCTGTATTAACTAGAATAACTTTTTGTAAAAAGTAGTCCTTTCTTGCCTAACTTGAAAGCTGTCTTTCAGTTAGATACACTTATCAAGATGGGAGAGCTTTTGTGTTGAGGGTCAAAGTTTGTAGTGATGGACCCTGGCCTCTTAAGAAAGTATCTGAGGTCAGATCACATAAACATGGCTTTGAGAGGCAAGAGACCCAGAGCCTGGGTTTCATCTCTTATGTGAGTAGGATAAGGACATGGTCTTTGGATTCACTGTGTGCATTCATGTTCTCATGTATACAGGTGTGTATGGATGTGTGTGCACATGCCTGTGGAAGCCAGAGGCCAAAGCTGGCTTTCATTCCTCAGGTACTAACTACCTTGGGTTTTTGAGACAAGGTCTTATAGGCCTGGGGTTCGCTATAGTCTGGGCTGGCTGGTGAGTTGAGCCACAGGCCTGTCTCGGCTTCCTGGGCACTGGGATTACAACAACAGTCTACCACCACACTGGGATTGCAACAACAGTCTACCACAACACTGGGATTGCAACAACAGTCTACCATCACACTTGGCATTGTTTTGTTTTCAGGTAGTCTGAGAGCTTGAACTCAGATCCTCACACTTGCAAGGCAGGCACTTAACCAACTCAGCTGTCTCCTCAATGCCGTGGAGTCACTGTAGGGATCTGATTTAGTAATGGCTGCTGTGGAAAGTGTGTTGCATTTCTACCCAAGGCTGAGCAAGTGCCTTCAGTCCCTGCAAGGGTCCAGTGGGAATGAGTTCAAAGACAATGGTGACGGTGATGTGGGTGACATGGGTGACGTGGGGGGGGTGCACACATGAGAACTAACCAGCTTCCTTTCATCCAGTCTCCATCAGACAGCACATCCTGCATCTGGAACTGGACACAGACAATAGCTACACAGCTGGACAGCTTTCCTTCCCACCGAACAGCACCCAAGGGTCACTACACATCGGAGGGGTCCCAGGTAAATAACTCTACTCCCAACTTCTACACCCATGTTAAAGCCCAGGAGCTCTTGACATCTTCTCAACCCAACAGCTAAGGGGGGCCAACACTTGAGTAAGGAGAAGAACATTCCTGGGTACACAGTGGAGGTGGCAAGGCCCTTGGCCTTAGCATCTAGGCACATCTCAGGGTAGTGTAGGCCACATGACTACTGCTTCCTCTGGTCCCAAGCCTGTCATTTATAACCCTCCTTAAGAGGATTCATTAAGTCAGAAGCCTATGTCAGCAAATAATCAAGAAAGCTGATGAGAAATAATGGTCTCTCTTCCCTAGGCACTGAGTGACTGTTGGGTGCACATGGGAGAATGGGGCAGCTGAGATAGTCACAAATGGGAGGATGGGGCGGCTGGGACAGTCACCTTCAAGGACTGAATGATGCCTGGAAGGGCCCATTTTATTTTTCCTTGTTTTATATCCTTCAGATAGTCTGCTCATTAATTTTATAGTCCTTTCATAACCCATAAAAGGTAACAGAGTTGAGAGTTATTATCTAATGATTCAAGCCATAGAAGTTCCTTCTCTAGAGGCAAGGGACAGCTTTGCTACCAATATATCAATCACAGCAGACAGGAGGTCGGGAGATGGCCAAGCCATGGGGTCTCTGGCTCTTTCTAATAATATTCTTAATAACTCCCTCCCTTGTACATTCATTTCATGGTATGAGCTATCCACCAAGTGCCTCTTCCTTTCTCTTTCAGACAAATTGAAAATACTTACACTCCCTGTGTGGAATTCATTTTTTGGCTGTCTGAAAAATATTCAAGTCAACCATGTCCCTGTCCCCATCACAGAAGCCGCAGAAGTCCAAGGTTCTGTCAGCTTGAATGGCTGCCCTGACCACTAACCCTACTCAGCAAGAGAAGTCACCATTGGAAGCACCATGAGTCCAGTGCACTCCTCCCCTGTTCAAAGCCATCAAGCCCACACAGCACACAGTGACAGAGCACTGTCATTTTGGGTCCCAACCACACCAACCCATCGCTCAGACTTTCAGTGACACACATGCATTTTATATCAAAATCCAATTTCATGAAGAAAATGAGCAAATTGTTATTCAAACATTCACACAATGCTTTTGTTACTATTTTTTCCACTAAGAATTAAATGGCTTTTAGAGAACTTTCTTCCCCAATTGCTAAAAGGAGCATCTTGTTTAGAGCACTTTATGAATACAAAACTTTAAAGCATGTTAAATTGCTACAATTCATTGGGATTAAATAAATACAATGTACTCTTGAAATTATGATGTTTTATAAGCAAGGAAAGCCAAGGGCTGATGATCAGTGATAATTATATTAATTCTTCAGCACTTGCTCAAGGTAATATCTGCTACATGATTTTCAACAAATAATTACTGAGCAAGCTGAGAGGTTATTTGCATGCTCCACGTGTGAACTACAATAAACTTTAATAAGTAAGTCCTGCCCTTACAGGCATGCACTTCAATTGGAGAGACATATAATATTCATAAATCAGGAACTAACAAGTTGAAGTACTGAACCCACTAATATTAATGAGGCTCACCTGCTTCTCAATCCTTGCCTTTCCCAATAGTCTACAAACCAGGTCTAAATTATCATCAATTCCTTCAGAACCCAAACCATCTAACTAGAGGTGCTAAAATGAATGTACATGCTATAACTATTTGTGAACATATATGGAGGCCAGAGCTCAAAATCAGTATCTCCCTCAAACATGTTCCACCTAATTTCTGAGACAAGGTCTTTCACTGAACCCAGAGCTCAAAATTTTGACTGGGCTTTGGTGCCTAGCAGGACTCTCCGGGTCCTCCCTTCTCCATCCCTCAGTACCAGGGTTACAGACATGTGCTAGAGTTTAGACAGATGCTGGGGATCTGACCTCAGATCTTCATGCTTGCAAAGTGTTTTGTCTGCCAAGCCATCGACGCAGCTTGATGACTGATGCTTTGATGGCAAGCCAACAGGAGCCAACCAGAAGGAG